CTTCGCAGCGAGAAACACTGTATTCTTTGGCACTCTGATGAAGGCATTTGATGCCTTTGTAAACACTCCTCTTATTCTAAGTGATCGGACGATGGAAAAAACTTCTCACCTAGAAATGGAAAGAACGTGCTCTGCAAAAACACTCTAAAGCAAGAATAGTTCCTTTTGTCCCTACCTGACCCTGGAGTTGAGAAAGGAACTGTGGGGTGTTCTCGACGGCGACTTCCCCCCCCCCCTGCCTTTGTGTTAGTGCTCCGCTCTACTTTACCGAGTCGATGAAGCATAGAGATCGGTCTACGGCCCACGCTCTCTCATACATCTATTTATCACTGCTTGGGTAATAACGCAGGTCTTCATCGCCCGTCCTGGTTACGGGGTACACGGAGTGGTTAACCCCACACGATCCTTCCCTCATGAACTCAAAAGTCCTCGTGCTTGGCCCATAATCTATTTTTCGGCTTCTTAGCTTCAGTACTGTTCAAAAAAGAGAAAATATCGGGGGGAAAATGGCCTGGAAATTAAGCGCAAAACTCAGAGGAGCTTTTGCTGAAAACTCAGGATATCTGTCAACGCGGCGCCTTCATCCTCCTTCCTTTTTGTTTGTCTTCTTCCCTTCTTTTCCTTCCTTCCTTCTCTCTTCCTTCTTCCTTATTTCGTTCCTTTAAATGCTTGACCAGAAGATGCGATGCGAAGATGGCTCTGGACCCTTGCAAAAGGAGAACACCCAAGTTGACAGTAGTCCCGTAACCCTCTAAAACTGCGACTTCCTTGATCCGACGTAATATTGCATCAAATGACCCTTTTTATCCAACAAGCACCGGAAATTGTAATGGGAGCATTGTTGCTGGTGACGATTGGCTGTTTATGGGCCTATGACAGTCCTTTTTCAGCTGACTTTCTTGAAGCTGAAAGTCAGCTGTACTTTTCTTGGTCCTTCACACCATCATTTCACAATGTTGATCGATTTAATGCCTACACATCAACGGGCTGCTCGTTGTTCTGCATCACACGACAGGTTCGATAACCACTCAACATCCCACACAGTCTGTTAAATTTTCGACCACGCCCACACACACCCCATTCGCTTGGGAGGCCACAAACCAGAGGAGCGGGGTGAAGATTTGCACTCCACTACTTGCCGCGTTCCGTGTCCCGAGCCAGCCAAATTCAGAGATGTAAGTGAATACGCGTTGAGCCCATACATCCACACTTGAGCAGCATGTCACTTTTGTAAAGCACTTGACACGACGATAAAGATGCATCCACCTCTTTCCCCATCAAAAGTAGGTCCCACTCAACAAGAGCTAGCGGGTCACCCACCACTCATACACACATAGCCAAATTGCGCGTCTGTTAATCACCCCAAAATTGCTATCCTGGTACAAGAGAATTCATGAGCAATCTTATCGTCGCTTTATCGCTCCTGGAATTCTTTTTAGAAATTACCTCAGTGTTCAATGAATTTGTTTAGTTTCAAAGAACTGGTGGAGTTTCGCTTGTGGGTGGTCTGTCTGATGGATGTAGGTTTCGCACGGCGTCTCGGGCGCTTGGTAGTTTACCGAGAGCGCTATGATCAACCGCCGGAAAGTGCTTGTACGTTTGTGACAAACTCACTCATTCTTGAAGGAAAGGTCAACGTACTATCTGAAAAGGTAAGGCATAATGGAATTGAAGGGCTCCCTTTAATGTTGTGACATTTTCTTGAATACTCTAGAACTTTCCTTTAAGGAAACCGCCGATTTCCTTATATCTGTAACACCAGATAAGGATCGACGAGATCAAGTGGCAAATGGCTTGCTTTTCTATCTGCTGACTGACGGCGCCAATTTCAACAAGGTAGACCTTTCTGCAATTCAAAGCACTAGTTAAAAAAGAAGTTTGCGTTTCTTGTTTGTTTCGAGAAGTTTGTTTCGGTGAGGCGAAACGAAATTAGGTCACCCGCCCTGGAGGTCTAGACTGCGCTTATACATTGCGTCAGCGTTTTGAGCGTACTTCAGCAATTCGGATGACTGCCTGAGAACGCTCAGTACGCTAGCGTACGCTAAGACGTTGAATCGATACCTCTAGTCTGTTTGTCCCTCAAAACGCTGCCGTACACCTACAACGCCGATGCAAAGTATGAACACTTTCTTGCCATTAGTCTCGTGCCTCTATGTTTTGTTTAATCGAAAGACGTTGTTTGTGCTTTCGAATGCCTAGGAGATTTGCACCAAAATGGGAACAGCTATCACGAGAATGCTGAGTTATGGGCCGGGTCAGACCGGGCGACTATGCGTTAAGGGTTGTGCTTTTGCGCGGTAAGCAGGAGGTGCAGGTTTGAATCCCACTGGGTCAGAATTTTGCCATAACTAAGCGCTCTTGTAATAATTTTGGGAGCGCGAACTGCTCCGTTAAATAGCAGCACTCATAATAAAACATCTTCAGAAACCTGGTACCAGCTCCCGGAAGTTGTCCTTGTGATCCTTTTTCTTACCTGATGCGGAAACTGGTGTATCGTGATTTTTTCAGTATTTCCGTTGCCTATCTGTCATTGCGAATGATCAGTGGTATGCAACCCTCTGTAACGTGAATATGATTCTGATCGAACTGTGGCCGAAATTGCACGAATCGTGCCGAGAACTGATGCTGCAGTTTTTTCGAGAGGCTGTCAAGCTGAACGTGCCCAAGGTAACCAGGACTTCTTTTTCCACTTCATCCTGAATATTTATAACAATAAATTGTGGCTGCAGTATCTATTGTACTAGATCACGGGCGATCTCGAGGCACGCCCAGCGTTTATTTGTTGTTCAGACTCCTTTTCTGGGCATGGTAGTCCTGTCAGCAAGCGTGGAGGAAGTGATGTTTTCGCAGCTCAATTAGGTGTTGGGAGCACACCCCCCACTTGCGACGAAGCCACCGCCCAGCCCACTGACCACGGCAACGCCCAACTCAGATTTTTTAAAGGCTTCCTGCTAGTGCTGTTGTTTCGCTACTAGTTCTCCCCATTTTGAATGGTGGGAGTGAGGTGGAAAGGGGAAAAGCTGATTCCAGGAAGGTAGATCTTGTTCAATCACACCCTTTCTTCGCCTTATGCATGTACAAGCGCAGTTGAGGTTCTATACGGGGTACTTTGGCTAGGTTTTTCTCCGTTTGCTTCACTTTTGTTTTACTTGTCTTCTTGTCACTGGTATTCGAGCCGCCCAAACTCACCATTTCTTGAACGCCAGGCGTGCCTTTGGCGACAGAAATGTTGCAGTTTCCTTCAGTCGGATTATTTTAGATCGAGAACGTTATCATGAATCTAGTGCGATCCATTAATGGCAGCGTGGAATGGAATCATAAGCTGCGACATGCTCATGCGGTGAGCTTTCGCTTTTCATTGTTAGTTATCTACTTTTATATTTACTACTGTTAAAGATACGCACGACTCCACAACGAGAAATGAGGCTTGGGTTATGGGTCTGAAGCAAGGGACATTCATGCTGCTGAACGTATTGACAACCTTTGGGCATTTGATTGTCGATGTACCAACCGGTGGACCATTTGATCATGTGCGCGCAGCTATGATACAGAGTGTGGTCTTCATCATTCGGTGAGTTGGATAATTCCTTTTTAATTTCTTGCTATTATTATTCATGGTTTAAAGTTTAAAACCTCTAATGGCGAGGAGACGGGTAAAGAACAGTCCTCCAACCAAAACAATTAAACAACTGTAATGTTGCAACCACGGTCCATTAAGTCACAGGGACGTACCAAGAAATCTGTAGAATTGTCAGGAAGAGTTTTCAATCTTTAGCGTCGGGAAAGGTTGGGGGAAGGTGTGAGAAATTGTTCTTCGCATTGTGTTGCAAAGATTCTAATGGTTACCTGAATATGTAAGGAAGCAGTTTCGAATGCGGTTCAAGTACACAAAAGAAGTTGTTTCCCCATTGCACAAGCTATGTCAGTCGAAGGAGGGCTTCGCCCGATAGGTCATAAGTAAGAGTTTGGCGCAGTTTGGCTGATGGCGCGCATTTGTACTGGTCGACACTGCGGGTTGCCTTTGCTGTGAAAGACTTGTAATTTGACCTGATAAAGCTAATTTAATTTGGAGAGATGTTGATAAGAAAGTTCCCGGCGAACGAGTCGCGATTGTCCAATGGAGAGAGGAGAGAGGTACAGCGAAAATTGTCCAAACCCACAAGTAGAAGGTTCAAATCCATCAGAACCAATCCAAGCCACCAGTAAACTTTGCCATCTTCTCGGCAACACATTAATGCTTCTCTTTGAAGCTGATCATTCAATTTGAGAAATGTCAAGCTCTTCGGTGACTAAATGCTGAATTTAATGTTCTTCGCGCCATTTTTGCCAGCTTCTTTCAGAATATGTGCAATAGTGAGCCAAGATCCGTGCTGCCAGGGTCAGATTCAGATCGTTTGCGTCACTTTTGTTTGAGTTTACATTATCTCCTGTAGAACTTCACGATTAATTCAGGAATCGCTTCGGAGATGCGTGCATTCTTGGTCGGGAACTGCTTCTTGTACTTATGCGTCTGTCAAAGGTTCCTGCGATTAACGCTATTTGGGTGGATCTCGTGACAGCTCCTTCAAAATTTGGCCTTAATGACGGTAAGCTCTTGTAAATTCTGTTTAAAGTCATCAACTCCTAGTAAAACATTTGAGTAGATACTAAAAAAGAAGAGCTATCATCCAGTGCATTTCAAGCAGGGCCGTAGAGATTTGGTTTTGTCTGAATAGTGCCCTTTTTTAGAGCTGTACTTTTTTATTCAAATTCTTTACGCCACGTCTGTAATATTTTTTGTTTTTTTTGCCAAATATTTCACATAAATTGTTCAGATGGGGGCTTTGAAATTTTTTTTCATTGTAAAGACCTGCTGGGACGTGACTCACCTTCGTTCTAGGTATTGAGGACCTTTTCCGGCAGAGTGCTAATTTCTATGGTGTTCGGCTCTCCGCTGAAATGACAAAGAAGATAGAATTCATCATTTGCCAGTGCAAACCCAGTACACAGGATAAACATTTCGAGTGGTTCTCAAATTCGGTATGGCATTTTAATTTACCAA